TGCGATCAGCTCCTCTTGACTTCCACTTTTCCTGTTCTTTTCTGGCCAGCGGATCAGCGGCTCCCAGCTCTCATCCAGGCTCCAGCACTTCAGGCAGTCCCTGAGCGGGGGCCAGGACCTCACCCAGGACGGACTGGTGGACCTGGCCGTGGGGGCCCAGGGGCAGGTGCTGTTGCTCAGGTGACAAATCCCCCACATCCTGCCCTTGCCTTCTGTGTGCCTGCTTCACCGGTGCTGCCCTGCCCTGCCCTGCCTTGTTTTCCTCCCAGGAGGGAGTGTCCTATCCTCTGCCCCTGCTTATGCCCTCAGGAGTCTGCCTGTGCTGAAAGTGGGAGTGTCCTTGAGATTCTCCCCTGTGGAGGTGCAGAAGGTTGTGTACCAGTGCTGGAAAGAGGTGCCCACCACCCTGGAAACTGTGGAGGCCTCGGCCTGCCTCACTATTCATAAAGACTCGCCTGACCAGTTAGGTGCGTTTCTTCTCTAAAGGGCCACCCAATCTCTCACCCTGTTGGAAGCTCCTAAGGCTGTCTTCAGATTGGTCCAAACCACGCCTCCACCTCCGCTCAGCTGCCTGTGTCAGAAGCCAGGGCCCTTTCTCCTCACCCAGGCTTGTGAGTGGTCTCCAGGGTATATCTTGTGCCTGCCCACTTCTCTCTCGGCCCAGCCACCACCTTCCTCTCAGCTGCCACCTTATTTGAGAAGTTCCCACATCTGTTCTTACACTTTCCCACTCATTCTCCACAGAGGGTCTAGACTTGATCGATCCTAAAATGCAAGTCTGGACTCCATATCCCCACCCCTAAGCACCCCAATCTGCTCTCCTTCACCTTTGTGGAGACACAAATCCTTCCCTGTGATGCTTTCTCTACTTTGGCCCTTAATTCTCACCTCATTCCATTCTTTGTAAATATTCTAGTCTTGCTCACACGTGGGGTCTTCGACACTGTTCACACAGTCTGGGATTTTCTCCCTGGCTTTACCCAACTCCTCTTCATCCTCCAGGTCAGAGCTTAGACATGGCCATTAGGACAGCATCCTTGGCCAAGTCTGAGTTAGTATGCTCTCCTTAGTACCAAAAGAAGATTCCACCCTTGTTCTGCTCACACTATGATGTTATGGCCAAGTGCTTGGCTCCTTTCCTAGGTTGTGACTTCACAAGGGCAGGGACCACATCTATCTGTCTTCTTTTCCATGTGTATCCCCAGCACTTGGTACCCTTCATGGCCCACAGAAAGTGCTCAGCAGACATTTACTACGTGAACACAGAACACTGTAGGTTCTTTTACCTTTCGTTTTTCTGGACTTCAGGTGATTTCCAGAGTTCTGTTAGTTATGATCTGACATTGGACCCCGGCCGACGGATTTCTCGTGCCATTTTTGATGAGACCAAGAACTGGACTCTGACTCGAAGGAAAATCCTGGGATTTGGGGATCACTGTGAAACCATGAAGCTGCTTTTGCCAGTGAGGACTTAGTGTGTTGGAGAGGGAAAGGGAGGAGGAGCCCAAGGCGAGCCTGAAGAATCCCATTTATCTGCTGTATGAGTGGAAGGGGTGGGAATACTGGGGATGGCGGAAGGAGGGTTGAGGTGGGAAGGCCTGGTTCCACAGCTTGGATGGCTGCTACCTCGATGCGGCAGAGAAGCCCCATGGTGAAAAGCGAGCGATAGTGGGTTCTTTTATTTATTTGTTTTTTGTACTGGGGATCCAACTCAGGACCTTGTGCCTGTGAAGCAGGCAGCAGAACCACTGAGCTAAGTCCTGGCCCGTTAGTGGGTTTTGAGGTCCACTCTCCCTCAGGACTGCATAGAGGATTGGTGAGCCCCATCATCCTGCGCCTCAACTTCTCCTTGCTGAGACACCCCATCTCAACCCAGAACCTTCGCCCTGTGCTGGCTATGGGC